TTTTAAAAAATTACACAATTGCCTTCTCTCAGCTGTACAGTAGTGTCCAGCAAGTGCCTTCCGTTTAAATCCTCATGGTTCAGGTTTTGCACATGCATTTTAGTGTTAGTTCACTGAATGAAAAGGAGCAGAAAGGAACACAGGCAAAGGGGGGAAACCCAATGTTGAAATTGGCTTTTTGTTGAAACTGACAAGCAGCTGCAAAGCCCCGTTTTCCATATTGCCAAGCACTAGGGGATTCTCTGCTGTGTTATTGGCCACTGTGGAAAATGGGAAAGAGACACATTATCTCATAATATGGGGGAACACACTGAATGTACAGAATGCACGGTAGAACCCACTGGCATTGCAAGCTGTGTGTGTGTGTCTGTGTGTGCACGCATGCCTGTGCAAAGTCGGCTGCAACTCCACCACACTTTATACAGGGCTGCAATTTGCGCCTACACACTGGTCATGATCTTGGTAAATTTTTAAAGCCTGTCCTGTGTGGATGGCCCTCTTCCTCCAAATGGATAAATCCCAAGCGATTCTTAAGTTTGGCAGTTTGCAGATGATCCATGTGGTTCAGCCACCCTTTTAATGTTAGGTTACCAGAGACTGCCAAAATGGTCCCCCCAGAAACTTTGTTCACTAAAGCATGAATGGGGAAATTCCACTAGTCCTGATGTTCTGGTGCGAAGCATCAGATGCATCTGACGGCCAAGTCTGATGTGGATTATTGAAGTCATGTGCATTATTGGAAGTGGATTACTTAGTGAGTGTGACCGCAGCAGCCATCTGCCAGGACTGCTTGTCTTGCTTCATTGCTGGATTAGTTGATGATGGGTTCAGGTGAAGGGGTCATGACAGTGCCCTAAATGCTGAGCAGCATTAGCCACCTCCTTCCTTGCTGGAGTGGGGCTCAAGGAGTGGCTCCACTTGGCCCAGTTATTGGGTGGGCTAAAAACACACACGCAAAGCCGGAGGTCATGCTGGTCAAGTTTGGAGACAGAAGGGAGCTGCTTGATTGCTGTCTTACTTGTAACACACACTGAATAGCCCATGGAATCATTTGATGACAGATCAGCCCTCTTCATTAATTTAATAAAAGTTAATTTTACCCAAACACAGTTGTTCTTGTGTCTTCATGGGAAGGGGGAAGAACAGATCTACATTAACCATTTTCAGTTAATGATATTAGTCACCATCAATCGTGTTGAAGGTACCTCGGCCCTCAAAATCAGACCCTCAAAAATGTACTTAACAAGATTCTCCTTGTGGAAGCAATAACACATTGTGTGCAGCTATACATAAGGCTTGAAACAGTGTGCATATGGAACAGTGGAACATCCAATGGATGGTTCACATTGTTGGGGAAACTAGATGGCCTCTGAATCCCGAGGCAAGAGTTTCTGCTTGGGTATCATCTCTTAAACACTTTGAACATGAGATCTGCCTTCACATTCAGAGAATTTCCTTTCAAAAGCTGTATTTATTCCTTCCAGCACCTTCTAACCAACCCACGAATATCTTTCAGGCCAAGCAGTTGAATATCAACACTGCTTGAGGCTTTATACTTGAGAAAGAAAATAAAAAAAGTTATACAATTACAGAATCTCCAGGGGTAGCACCCTACTTATGTCTTCAATTACAGAATCTCCAGGGATAGCACCCTACTTATGTCTTCAGCAGGGGTCGTTTCATAGAAAAAGAGCTAGGGGAACTCATTAGCATAACTCATTAGCATATGCCACACACCCTGACATCATAAGGCCCGGCGGTGGACCTGCAAGGCCGGCGGGAGTGCAAGGAAGCCCCGCCAAGGCCCTCCCACAGCGTTCGGTGCGCCTTGGTGTTTAGTCATGCCGGCCACATGACCACGGAAACGTCTTCGGACAGCGCTGGCTCCTCGGTTTGGAAACGGAGATGAGCACTGCAACCCTAGAGTCGGACTCGACTGGCTTTCGAGCAAGGGAACCTTTACCTTTACTATCATGTCACCCCTCAGTCATCCTTTCTCCAAGTTAAATAGCCCAACCTTTTTAAAACGCTGAACTGCCGACCGGAGGGTCAGCAGTTCGAGACCCGAGTGTCGCATGATGGAGTGAGCTCCGATCTCTGATCCCAGCTCCTGATAACCTAGCAATTTGAAAGCAAGAAATTGCAAGTAGATAAATAGGTACCCCTTAGGTGAAAGGGTAACAGCATTTCATGCACCTTGGCATTTAGTCATGCTGGCCACATGACCACGGAGAAGTCTTCAGACAGCACTGGCTTATCGGCTTGGGAACGGAGATGAGCACCTCCCCCTAGAGTTGGATTCAACTAGCTTTCAAGCAAGGGACATCTTTGCCTTTTACCTAGCTCATTCTAGACAGATCTTATTAAAGCTTGGAAACAAAGCATGGTTGGCCATAGTTTTGTATCAGAGACCACCATGGAAGACTGGGGATGCTGTGTAGAGAAAGGCAATGGCAACCCCCTTGCTTCTCCCTTGCATTGAAAATCAGACGGTCCTGGGGAGGCCATGAATTGGTTGTAGTTTGAGAGCACATAATTATTTGTATAAATTCCATGATTTTTTAAACAAAGATGTGTCACCCAATGGTTATTTCCAAAGCTTGATATTTCTTTATTTTCCCAGGTGATAAAAACAGCTGTCTCAATGCCAATATTCCATCCTCTCTCACAAAAATCCAGGGTTGCACCTGTTCAACAGAGCCGTCTTTCTCTAAACCTCCCCCATTCAAAGTACCCCCAGCCATGTTCTGCACAGTGTAGGATTTTAAAAGAGGTCAGTTGAGGTTCTGTGGCTCAGTGGTACAGCAGAAGGCCGCAGGTTCAATCCCTCGCATCTCCAGTTTTTTTGTTTTTTTTAAGGACCAGGCAGTAGGTGATATGAAGACCTCTGCCTAAGACCCGGGAAAATCGCCACCAGTGTGAGAAAACAATATTGACTTTGATGGATTCAGTATAAGACAGCTTCAGTATAAGGCAGATTCCTGGGTTCATGTGACAAAGCTAGTCCAAAGCATCTCTCTCTCTTCACACAGGGAGTGCCTAAGCAATCTTGCTATAGAACAGTCATTGCAACGGCATCCGCCAGAAACACTTGATTTCTGGAGTAATATTTGATCTGAATCTTATGTTTTTGTCTCTGTTCCTCTACGGTCTGCACCACTGTGGAATGTGTAAGGACTGTCATAAGTATTAATAAGTATTTATTTACAAGAGAACTTTTATAAAATGATGTATCAATGGTATGTGTCTCTAGAAAAATCAGTTCTCTCGGATCCAGACCCTCCTGTTCTCTCTTAAATCTTGTCATTCTTCTGATCCCACCCTGCATTGAAATCCAGGGCTGCCGAGAGCCACCATGGGCCCCTGGACAAAGATCCCATCTGGGCCCCCTCATATGACCCCAATCCAAACCAAATGTCATAGCAAAATGATCAAAACAATTAATGGATGGGTAACTGCACAGAGAAGGCTACACGAAACCTCCCTGCCCATTTTGTCCCAATGTTATAATGTTGCTACATTATAATGAAAAAAATTGTGTTGTAATGCAATCAACATTACCTTTTAAAGGAATTAGAGTATCACAGAGGGGAACAACCTGAGGGAGAGCGGGAGGGTGGGAGGCACCGTGAACACATGACACTGATGACACAAAAGGGCAGTGGGGAAAAAACAATTAGGTGGAGGGAGATAGAAATGAATGAGAAAAGTATGGAAAACAGGGAGAGAAATTAAGGAAAAGCAAGAGAATTTTATCTTGCTGCAACACCCTTTCTCCTAATTTGCAAGGTCGGGCTGAGCTGGGTGCAAAGAATGGAAGACACAAAGATGAGACTATTATAGAAAATGACCTTGGATACAGGCTACAGGCCGACTCTTAGTGTAGTAGCCATCCACCGGGGTTGCTTGCCTTGCTTCATTGATAGATTAGTTGGCGGGTTCAGGCGAAGGGGTCATGACAGTGCCCCAAATGCTGAGCAGCATTAGCCACCTCCTTCCTTGCTGGAGTGGGGCTGGAGGAGTGGCTCCGCTTGGCCCAGTTAATGGGCAGGCTAAAAATCAACAAAGCTGGAGGTCATGCTGGCCAAATTTGGAGGCAGAAGGGAGCGTCTTGGATGCTGCCTTACTTGTAATGCACGCTGAATAGCCCATGGTATCATTGTTGATTTAATAAAATGTAGTTTTACCCAAACACTGTAGTTTTTGTAAAAAAAACCCCACACAGCTGGAGGTCATGTTGGCCAGGTTTGGAGACAGAAGGGAGCTGTTCAAATGCTGCCGGACTTGTGATGCACATGGAATCATTTGATGACATAGATCAGGCCTTTTGGTCAATTAAATAAAATGTAGTTTTACTCAAACACTGTTTTTCCTTGTGTCTTCATGGGAAGGGGGAGGAATGGATCTATACTGTTCAATACTGTTCAATACTGGGCTCTGGCCACATTGCAGTAAATCAGCTCTACTTTATTCAGTGATTTCGGGAACACACAAGACAAAACTTCAGGGCATCTGCCCTATTTTAAAGCATGCAATCACCACACCCAAACACAACCCACTCCCAGTGATAGGCTATTTACATACCACTGTTACTCAATTGGTCTACTCCAGGATCCTAGTAGGCTATTGTTCTGGGAAAGTAAGATCAACTAGAACCTGATACTCTTTCAGGGATTACTCAGGCTTAATACACAGCATACACTAACCATTTTCTATTAATGATATTATCATCATAGATAGTGTTGAAGGTGCCTCGGCCTTCAAAATCAGACCCATATAATTGTAAGTATATGCTTGTAAATCCTGTGATACAAGTTGTGAGGTGACTCTGAGACAGAACCCATTGCCTGTGGGGCACCATGGCTAAGATAAGGCTGAGGCTCCAGCCAAGCAGCTGACTGATGAGTTCCTCAAGCATGAAGCTCTATCTTGCAAAGCTCGGCTGCTCGGAACCAAGCTCAGATTTTGTCTTAGTTCCACATTTAACTGAATCATTGTGTTTACTGAAAGGTACTACCACTGCCATGACCGGTAGCACAGTAATAATCAGCTTCGTCTTCCACCAGGGATTCCGTAATGGTTAAATAACAGATGTTTGCAGATGTGTCTTTGGACCCTGAGAAACGAGAGGGGACCCCGGAGCCCTGAATCACATTGGAATCTGAATAATATCGTACAAGGAATCTTGGGGGGTTGCCAGGCTTCTGCTGGTACCAGTATATGTAGTAGCTACTGATGCTGAACCCGCTGCCCATGGTGCAGGAGAGCTTCATGGTGCTCCCTGGTGACAGTGATGCTGATGGGGTCTGAGTCAGCACAGGCTGAGAGTCTGAACCTGGAAAAAAAATGATATGGTAGAAATTTTCTCACACCATTTGCTCCTCACCTGCCCTCCCCTCAGCAATAACTGCAGAGTCTATTTCACCTGCTCTCACCTGTGCACCACAGCACTAGAAGGATGAGAAAGGGAAGCAAGGACATGATGAGAAGATCTGGGGACCCAGAGAAGAAAGGAAACAAAAGGCTCACATTGGGTATCTGGTCCATTTGTGGGCTTTTATATCCACCCTATGGGGAGAGGTGGAGCACTGTCATGTGATCAGCTCAAGCCTGATTGGTCCTGATGATCAGAGTGGTACTTGAAAACAGGATGTGCCATCGCATGCAAGTGATCCTTCAACCGGGCCTCTTAAGGCAGCTTTTTCTTCTGCTGCCAAACTGCTACTAGCAATATGCTGCTTAGGATCGGGTTTGAAATTTTGCTTCAGTCCTAGATGCTGAGGGGTGAGACACAATATGAACTGGAAGTATAGCACTGTAGTCTAGAACTTATTCTCACTGCATAAAAGAGATGGGGGATTGACCCTACTGTCTAACTCAATTCTAACCCTAAACTTACAGACCTACCATGAACAACCACCAAAGTAAGCTTGTTAAAACAAGCCAATGAAAAAAGGTCTTGCTAGGTGTCCCTAAGTACAACCTTATACTTAGTTGTATAGGGGACCGAGACAGTCCCCCCGCCCCAGCACCTTGTTTTGCAGGATTGCAAGACATCACAAATGTCTCTACTAGATGGATATACAGCAAAGCATTGCAGCTGGGCAGATCTATACTCCCCCCCCCAAAAAAAAAAATTGTAAGAAGATTAACCCTGAAGAACAGCTGAATGGGGAAATTCTGATCATGGTGCTCAACCAGCCACTAGATCACCGATACACCAATTCTTAACAGTGTCATCCAATAATTATGAAGCACGCTAAATGGGAGCACTGCACTTGTTGAGTTTCCATGATTATCAAATCAATTATATAATTGCATTATTTTTAGATGTTTAAAAGATTGAATTGTCATCAAAAACACACTGGGAGCTAAAGGGGAAGAGAAGGGGGGGAGAGAATGAAAAAAACAATACAAGTATGAGGCAACAAGATCTACCCACCCCAAAAAAGAAAAAGGAGGGGAAAGGAAAAGGAAAAGGAATCATGGTTGATTGAAGAAAATGTAGTTCTACCCAAACACTGTAGTTTTTGTGGTCTTCATGGGAAGGGGGACGGTCGACACTAAGCATTTTCAATCAATATGAGGTATTGAAGGTGCCTCAGCCCTCAACATCAGACCCATAGAATTGTAAGTATATGCTTGCGAGTCCTGTGACACAAGTTGTGAGCCGACTGTGAGACAGAGCCCATTGCCTGTGGGGAACCATGGCTAAGATAAGGCCGAGGCTCCAGCCTAGCAGCTGACTGAACAGATCCTCAAGCATGAGCAGAGCTCGGGTGCTCTGAACCAAGCAGAGGTTTTGTCCTAGTTCCACATTTAACTGAATCATTGTGTTTACCGAAAGGTACTGCCACTGCCATGATAGGTAGCACAGTGGTAATCAGCCTCGTCTTCTACCAGGGATCCTGTGATGGTTAAATGGCAGGTGTTTGCAGACGTGTCTTTGGAAGCAGAGAAACGAGAGGGGACCCCAGAGCCCTGGCCCTTGCTGGAATCGGAATAATACCATAAGAGGTATCTTGGTGGATTCCCAGGCTTCTGCTGGTACCAGTATATGTAGTAGCCACTGATGTCAAACCCACTGCTCATGACGCAGGAGAGCTTCACTGTCTTCCCTGGTGTCACCGATGCTGATGGCGGCTGAGTCAGCACAGGCTGAGAATCTGAACCTGGAGAAAAGGATAACAGAGAAACCGTCTCACACCATTTGCTCCTCACCTGCCCTCCCCTCAGCAATAACTGCAGAGTCTATTTCACCTGCTCTCACCTGTGCACCACAGCACTAGAAGGATGAGAAGGGGAGGCCAGAACATGATGAGGAGATCTGGGAAACAAAGAGGAAAGGAAGCAAAAGACCCGCAATGGGAAGCTGGTCCATTTGTGGGTCTTTATCTCCATGCTATGGGGAGAGGTAGAGCATTGTCATGTGATCAGCTCAAATTTGATTGGCCCCTATGATCAGAGGGGTACTTGAAAACAGGATGTGCCATCCCGTGCAAGTGATGCTTCAACCGGGCCTCTTCAGGCTGCTTTTTCTTCTGCCGCTGAACGGCCACTAGCTATATGCTGCTTAGGTTTGGCTTTGAAATTTTGCTTCAGTCCTAGATTTTGAGGGGGGAGACACAATATGAACTAGAAGTATATCAAGTTATCCTCACTGCATAAAATAAATGAGAGATTGACCCGCCTGTCTGTATCAATCCTAACCCTAACCCTGCCAACCTACCATGAACTTCCACCAAAGTGAGCTGGTTAAAACAAGCCAATGAAAAATGGCCTTGTTAGATGGGAACACTACAAGGTGTCCCTTTGCCACAAAGCACTTTTTTGGGGGGAGCAGGTTTGCAAGACTTCACAGATGTCTCTCCTGGAAGGATATACAGCAAAGCATTGCAGCTGGGCAGATCTATGCTCCCCCTCCTTCAAGGTTTGTAAGAAGATTAACCCCAAAGAACAGCTGAATGGGGAAATACTGATCATGGTGCTCAACCAGTCACTCCTTTTCATCCACGTTGAAATGGCAACTAGATCACCGTTTCTGTTCGCAGTCATCAAACCGATACACCGATTCTTAACAGTGTCATCCAATAATTATGAAGCACGCTAAATGGGAGCACTGCACTTGTTGAATTTCCATGATTATCAAAAATTATATAATTGCATTGTTTTTAGATGTTTAA